ATCGTAAAGATTTAAAATAAAATAAACGTTAGTAAAACTTAGGATCCTTACAATGTCAAGAAATATGCAAACAAGGCAGTTTTATAAGAAGCCAGCTTTATGAAGGGTTACAGAAGTTGATTGTAAGTGCTGATAAAAGGTGTTTAAAACTTTCGTACAATTTGTTTTCAAGACATACGTGTTTCTATGACTTCCAGAAGACGAATGGAAGATTCTGAGCTCTGGCGTGCTGTGGAGCGGATTGAAGCAGGACAGTCGATCACAGATGTTGCACTTTTCTTCACGTTTATCATTCTGTAATTTCACGTTTATGGAAACAATTCCAAACCACACGGACAGTTACCAGAAGGCCCGTAGCCGGTCGCCCAAGTGTTACAATCCCCGCGGAAGAACAATATATTGCTATTGTAGCCAAGCGGAATCGCGAAATGACCTCCACACGTGTGACATCTATCGTTACAGCGTCCATTGGTAAGGTGATATCTGCAGCTACTGTACGCCGAAGATTACATATGAGTAGACTATACGCCCGGGTACCTCGAGTTTGTGTTCCTCTATTCGTCCAATCAAGAGGGGCACGATTATAGTGGTGCCAGGAACATGTCAATTGGAATGTGTCTGACTTGGGCGATGTCATGTTTACTGATGAGTCAAGATTTGCTCTGGAGCCATATGACAAGCGTATAAGGATATGGCGTGAACAGCGAACACGCAGTCAGTTCCAAAACATCACCGAACATCACGCATTCCGAGGCGGAAGCATTATGGTGTGGGAAAGGATTTCATTAGAATACCGCACCGACCTGCACATTTTTAAACGAGTTCTTTGACTGATGTCCGATTTCAAGATGAAGTCTTAGAACACTTTGTGAGATTGTACGCTGCAGCAGTTGGCCCTACTTTTGTTTTAATGGACGATAACGCACGTCTCCATAGAGTTGACATCTTCGATGACTACCTGGAGAGTGAAGAGATTGCGCGTATGGCGTGGCCAGCATATTCGCCAGACCTTAATCCCATTGAAAATCTTTGGGATGCTCTCGGCCGTGCTGCATCTTCACTTTTCCCATCTCCAGCCACTCGTATTGAGCTGGAAACTGCTCTACAAGAAGAATGGCGATTGCTTAATTCTGCAGTGGTTGACCACCTAATTTGAAGGCATGGTCACAAGGTGTAAACTTTGTATACAGATGAGGGGAGATCACATACCCTATTAATGTCCTTTTTTTTTCATTTCATGCTGTTTATTTTCACTTTATTCATAATTCTGTTTAAGTCATTATCTGATAACTTACAAAAATTTAATATTGTTTTCATTTCTGTATATAATTATTGATTTTGTTTTATGCATAAATATATATGCTACTTTCCTGCCGAATTTTGTGTCAATCAAAGCAGTATTTGTTGATTTTTTTGCATTTTACATCTTGGTGCTTAACGTTTGGAAGTGAGTGTACTATGTATGTATATGCTATTGGTGCAGCCGATTGGCAACGAAAAAGGGAGGTGCACAGCTGCATGTTATAGCAGTCCAAAATTTCAACAACTTGATACAAAATTTCAACCTTCTACGGCGACTTGTTTTTCAGTTATGCGATATACATATATACTACGTACAGACGTCAAGAAAAATTCTCTTCTGGATCAATTTTTTAGGTCCTTTTTGGCGAAAAAAAGTCCTTTAACCTGTCCGTACGCAAAAACATTGTTCGAATGGTTTCGAGAGCGGTTGAAATTGATATTTTCGTTGAAATATGATACCCGAAAGTTTTCGCGATTACAATACTGCTTTTACTTCATACAAGGGAGGAAAAAGGAAGGAAAGAAAATTTATGAGATATGGTTATAAGCGCGTTTTGATGGTAAGAATTAGATTTGAATGTATATAGAAAGTACAATAAAATTTATTTCAGTAACTAAAGAAGTAATTTAGATAAATTTAGCAGAAAAAAATTTAAAAAAAAAACGAAGATTGAAAGACTAAATATAATATTAAAGATGAAATGGTCATTTATTTATCTTTTTTAATGACTTGCATTCGTTAACGCGTTATTATAGCCATCTTACTTTATGGTACTTTGCTGTTAGATATGTAAGTGTTAAGGTTATTGTAAACACTACAGCTAGCTCTGTGGGTTCTAATAAGTGTGTGCCACGGATTTCCTTTCACGAGTTATCATGATAAAAGCGATAGTGTTAGATTCATGCAGACAAGAACTAAATAACATTTAACTAAAATCTTTAACGAATCTCAATTTGAGAGTTAACATGAGAAGAATCCACAGTAACAATCCACTTGACTGTTAAAATTCACGCTTATATTTGACTGTAAAGAACCACAATTCCATCTAATTTTAACGAACTAAGCTTTCAACTGTAGCTTATCGTTTCGGGTAGGACTTCTTCGGAATAGGCTATACTGGCCAGGATTTAAACATCAATAATCCCGATCTGCTACTTTTTTCCCAGTTTGCTTCCAGTTTTTATCCCAGTTTGCTCCGCTCCTTCTAGGCACAGACTCAGATTGAGGTTCTTCAGATAGCAGCCAACTTCAGACAGACAGGCAAAGTAGACAGATGTCTTGTTTTGCACCCGCTAAGTCTTTCTGCACAATAGGCTAAAAATCAAGCTTAGGTGCGACGGAAAAGTATATAGAAAGAGGGTAATTTCATATTTTAGAGGAGAGTAAAAAGGAACTTCGTACTTTTTTTATACGAGTTCGAAAGGCAGTGACGAAAAGAAGGAACAAAATAAAATTAAAATAAGTGGCCCAAATGTAATAGGAAAAAAATCTGATGTGCACACCACATGACTTCCTTGTACGGAATATTAAATTATACGCATATTTTCTTGCATTTCGTTTAAGCGTATTGGATTTAATTAAATCTACTTCGCCGACAGCGCATAAACCACAATAGAATAAATGCATTTTTTAAAATTCACTCTATTTGTTTACCATAGCGACACTCTGGCGCTAGGTTCACTTTAACAGCATTATATTTCGTTCATAATATAACTCAGAAAGTACAAAATTTATATCATTTAAAGAATTATCTAATCATTGCCACATGTTCTATTCAAATACCTTAATAAAGCTAGAACGATGTATAAAAGAAATTAAGCAAACAAAACAAAAAAGAAACAGTTTTTCACAGACGATTGAGTATTTATCATTCAATTAATTCCGTTCTCACTTCGCGACAAGGCAAAAATACATAAATACTCAAAATGTCTGTATTAAAAATTACTAATTATTAAAAATTAAATTACTAATTATTAAAAATTAAGTAAATCTTAAACACTTATTTCCTCGAAAAAATTCCAGAAAGGATTAAGCATGATTTAAGTTGCAATAATAAATGAAGGTGTTATCTCTGTTGTTGTGAGGCTACGTTTCTCTAGATTGGCAACAAATTCACTACCCTGCTGTTTCAAATGTAAACAAGCAATGTCCGCCATCAAAAAAATTATTAGGCTTAGAGGCACTTGAACAACTTTTAAATTGGTGATAATTCTAAACATATTGCATACAGATTTACTAAAGGCATAAAAACCTTAACCGGGAGATAAGAACAACATAATTCAATCATTTTTAAAGCAAAAAATGTACAATTTACAAACAAATAAAAGTAAAGAAACTGAGATCACTGGGCCGGGTAACAGAGTGGATATATTTATGAATATATTTATATACGTTTGGCGCGGCCGATTGCGACGAAAATACGAGGTGCACATCTTCATGTTATAGTAGTCCTATATACAAACTTTCAACGTTCTGAGGCTACTCGTTTTTGAGTTATGCGAGATACGTACGCACGTACGTCTTACGTTCGTACAGACGCCACGAAAAATTCTCTTCAGAATTAATTTTAAAGCAGTTTTATAATTTTTTTTTGAGAAAAGAGTCTTTTATTCTGTCCTTACGTATTCTGTCCTTACAAAAACTTTGTTAAATTGCATTCGAAAGCTGTCAAAATGGATATTTTCTTTGAAATATAGTGCCTGAAACTTTTCGCGATTATAATACTTCCTTTTTACTTCGTACAAGGAAGTAAAAAAGGGATGTGTCTATAGAGAGAAAAGGAAAATCTCAGAAATTAGGTAACAGACAACTTCACGGTTGCAGTTACCCTGCTTCTACGCTTGTCTCAAAAATCTACATAAGCTCGTATCGAAATCAACATAACCATGTAGAGGGAACGAGCTGAGGGACTAAATTAGAAATGATAGAAGTTATGCAAATAAAAAAAACTATTTGTTATGTAGCGTTGCGCGCCTCCAACTTGCACGCAACCAAGAGGTGACTGTGAAAACTGGATAAAAGACAGAGTCTTGTTAAGGGTTTAAGTCCCTTTTTATTCAACGTAATAAATTACAAGTGCGTGCTCTTGACGCTCACAAACTGCGCCAACTCGGCGGTCAAATAAAAATAATAACCTGAAAAGAAACTAAAAACAAGACTCTAACTACGAGGCTCTCTAAAAGTAACTAACTCACCGCGTTTTACAATACCGCTGCTAATTCAGCAAACTTGAAGATCACTTGAACGATTAACACTACTTCCAGGCAAGCACACAGGCCGAAACGCGGGGTTCTTCAATTTCTGGCCAACTACCTCCGCGCTCGTGAAGTAAGAAAATCCCACCTCGAACTCGTTTCCTTTCTATTTAAATCAGAATACTTCCGCTGATAATTTGAATCCTTGCGCGTTCTACTAAAATTTACATACTCTGGCATTGGCAGTTCCAGAGGGAAAGTAAGGCTTGACAGGAAAGATAGTTTAAACTTAAAATAAATGTTAGTTAAAATAAATATAAACCCTACATTTGCCGCTGCCAGAATTTGGAAAACTTGGAAGCAGGTCCTACAAACGACCTGTTGTAAAGTTTCTACAATTCTGAACTAACTTTTAAGAGCCTCGTTTACATAAAAAAAAATCTTATGTCACAAAAGGTATACTAAATTTCTGTAGATACTTATTTAAATCTCTCTTCTTACAGCAACTTTTCCTGGACTTCAGCAATCAATCTTGGTCTTTCCTTCCAGCATCTGGAAAGAATAAGTATCAGTATCTTTCTAAATACATTATAATTTACACTTTCTTGACACAATAAATTTTTGTTTTTAAACGATTCGTTTTTTTTAGTTATTGCTTGATTCACATTCATTCAATTTTTCAAGCATTAATTTAACTTTACCCTGGCTCTCCACCATGTGTGGTGTCAAACGGGAATATTCGTGTTTTAGTCTTACAACACTTCCCCTAACCATCATGATTTGTTAGAATTCAACGACCAAATAGACACACCTTACTCGACATTCTACAACTCGTTGAGCTACTTTAATATTCTTAAAAATTCAAGTGTAGGTGGAGAACCCTACAAAACAAATTCATTCTAACTTCCCCCTCATTCATCTTTAAACATGCAGGCTTTCGCTCTAAAGCATGACTTTATCTACAATTTAATACTTAAATTTTGAATTTATTGCTTTTGAGCATTTACTTTTAGCATCTAAAATTTTATGCTTCTAGACTAAATTCTACTTTTACATAACATTCAAGTATTTACGTACATTTACAAAATTTTAATACATATAATTTTTAAAATTTACCATACAATGAATAAGAGAAAATAAATTTTTACTTTACTCATTCTTCGCCAAGCTGGCGGCACTGAAACTAAAATTCGCATTAATACAAGAATACGAAGTTATTTTTATCTTAGGCCAAATTTTGGCTTTAACATAACAGAATTAGTCTTTCGACCAACAGAAAGTGCTTGTTTTTAGCTTTTATACTTAAAGAAAATAATACTTTTGCCTTAGCTAAATAAAGTAAAACAAAGCTAAGTCTCAACCGAGACATATTGACTTTCGTCAAAACATAGAACAAACATCGAACATAACATTTCGGAACAAAAGAGAAAAAAAAAATTTATAGAAGGTTTTAACTTATCTTTGAGTTTTCGATGCTTGAAACTCCGTCATTCGTTTTTGGCAATATTGGTCCCAAGTTAGAGGTTTCATGGACGTCAATCTTCTCCTTACTGACCTCCGAGTGTCGTCCACATTAGTTTTTCTTTTGCGTCCTCCACATGCTGGCCTCTTGGCGGAGTAATCGTCTGGTTGTTGGCATTTCCGTTTTCCCTGGGACGGCTGGGTCTTGACGTCCTCCGGTCTGGAGTCCTTCTGAATTTCTTCTGTTCCTGATATTTTTGTTCCTCCTGTTGCCGTTTTCAGTTTTCCGGAACGGCGGCCTTGCTGGCACCTGACTCTGTGGCCGTGTGCGCGTTCTCCTTGATGTATAATTTCTCATGCGATCCGTTGTAGGTGGTGTTTTGCTCTTTACCACGGTTTCTTTATGCGGTGCATCTGTATTCTTGTTTTTCTTAAACGCTGGAGTGTCAAAGTTATTTTTTCTTTTTGATACCGACGTCCGGGTTGTAGAAGGGCTAGATCTCTCTTCAATTCTCTGCTTCTTGGGTGGTGGAATAGTTGTTGTTATTTCTGGACCTTCTACTTCGTTTAGACTTGAGTCCTGCAAGAAACTTTTAAGGATTTCAAAATCATTTGGATTATAGTATTTTTTCACCTGGTCGGGACTTGCTTTAGAGACCTCCCCTCTCTCGTTCTTAAGATATAATACTACTCCTTTGATTTCCTGAATTACATAGGGACCTTCAAATTTTGGAGCTAGCTTTGCCGTAAAATTGTCTGGGGTACTTGATAAAGAAAATTTCCGTTTCAATACTTTATCCCCAACTTTAAAATCTGCTTCACGGCGTTTTCTATCATAATATACTTTCTGCCTTTTTCTTGCCGTATCCGAGCTTTTAAGCGCCTAATCAATCAGCTTTTGCACATCTTTTTGTTTAAACTCCTGCTCTCTTTGTTGCACAAAGAATAATTTATTTATCTAAAGGCGTAATTAATTTTCGGCCTAAAAATAATTCTGCTGGGGTTTTTTTCCCTTAGTATCATGATTTGCCGTTCTTAAAGCATAAGCTAATTCATTTATGTAGCCATCCCAGCGCTTGTGATGTGTGCTCACGTAACTGCGAATTATTTTTACTATGTTTTTATTCACTCTTTCTGCTATGTTTGCCTGTGGTCTATACGGAAACCATTTTGATATGGCGTATGCCAAGTCCATGCATATGTTTTCAAATATTTGACTAATGAATTGTTTTTCCGTTATCGCTAATGACTTTTATCGGTGCACCGTATTTAAAATGTATCTGTGTAAGAATGCATCTGCGACTGTTTTGGCTGACGCGCGTTTAAGTGGAACAATTTCTGTCCATTTTGAAAAATGATCTACTATTACTAAAAGAAAACGATTTTTATTTAACTCGCTCTGGGGGAAGGGACCAAGAAGATCTATGCCTAAAATTTCATTCGGAAATGTAGCGCGAATGCTATTTAAGAACCCGGCCGGGCTGTAATTAATATCATTTATTAACTGACATTGATTGCAGGACCTGACATACGCCGTTACTATTTTGTATAATTGCGGGAAATATACCGCCTCGCGTACCCTTTTTAAAGTCTTTCTGACCCCTAGATGGCCTGCTGTTTTCGCGTCGTGTAATTCCTTCAAAATGCTTAATCGAAGCGAGGCTGGGATGACTGGTTTGTACTCAAGATTTCGTTTGTTGTTTTTCGTATAAAATAAATAAATATATCTATTATTTCATAGTTTTCTGCTCTATTTCTTATCGCTTCGATATCTGTGTGCTCAAGCTTTCGGGGTCTTTCAAATATGCATAGATATTTCCAATTCAGGATCAGCTTTCAGTTCAGTATAATCGTATCTCTAGAATCTAAAATTTTTGAAGTCAACACAGCGCATTTAAGTTCATTTCCTTCATCGTCCAGTTTTATACGAGAAAGTGCGTCAGCTACATTGTTTTTCCTTACCCGGTTTATATTTTATTGTGATATATATTCTTGGAGTTTTAAAAAGCCCATCTTATTAACCTGGGCGTTAGGTTTTTCCACCCAAGTAAAGTCTACCAACAGCCGCATGATCCGAAAAGACTGTTACTGGCGCTTTGCCGAAATAAACTCGAAATTTGTGTACAGCCATTAATACGGCTAATGTTTCTCTTTCTGTAGCTGTATAATTCCTTTGTGTCTGATTCAACGTTTTACTAAAAAATGCTAGAGGATGGTTATTTTGCATAAGAACCGCACCCACCGCATAGTCTGACGCATCTGCTGCAATTTCCAGGTTTTTGTCCCCCTCCAGGAATTTTAAAACAGGGGCATTAATGAGCGCTTCTTTTAATCTTTCAAAAGCTGTGTATTGCTTCCGCTGTCCACGTAAAATTTACCCTTTTTTTTATTACTAAGAGTGGTTCAACAAGATTAGCGAAATCTTTTATGAAAGACCGATAGTAAGACATTAACCCAAGGAAAGAAGAAAGTTTCTTGGCGGTGTTGGGCGGTGGGAAATTCTTGATTAGCTTTTATTTTTTAATCTTGCGTTTCTATACCCTTTTGCGAAATTTTATAACCGAGATATTTAAGCTCTTTAGTTGCGAACTTGCATTTTGAGGCGTTAATTGTAAGATGGCCACTTTTAATAATTTAAAAACTTGTTCTAGATCATTAATGTGTTGTTCCAACGTACTACTCGTTATAATTATATCATCTAGATAAATTAAAGTTGATTTTCCTAGGACAGGCTTTAGAACAATGTCCATAGCTCTCTGGAATGTTGATGGGGCCCCACACAACCCAAAGGGCATACGTAAAAATGCATAAGTGCCCGATTTTTGTTTAAACGCGGTTTTATGTATGTCTTCGGGTCTCATAGCTATTTGATAGTAGCCAGACGTTAAGTCCAAAGTAGACATGTATCTTGTCGATTTGATCTGTCTAATGATCTCGTCTATAACCGGCAAGGGTAAAAACTGGAAATTTGGTAATACTATTAGTTTTCTGTAATCAATAGCAAACCTCCAAGCCCTTTTATCCGAAGAGGAAACTCGTTCTTTTTCCTACATAGTACTCACTATTTATGGGCGTTATTATTTTTTCTTTAACATCTCCTGAATATGTTCTTCGATGATTACGGTCTTTTTGTTTGTCGTACCGATAAGGTTTAGTCCTACAGGATTTTCGGCATTTAATTGAATCTTGATGCGTGACTATTTGATAATTTCCTGGTTTTTCTGAAAAACAAATGAGAAAAATTACTCACCACTTGCTGTATGGCTTGCCTTTCATGGTCATTCAGATGGCTAAGGTCACTTGCGGTGTCTCACAGGTTCCACCACCTCTGGTCCATCTCCAACACCACGGAACTGTTCTTGAAAAATTTAATTTGGCCCTCGCGGCCCTTAAAAACTCCATACCTAAAATAAGAGAATTTTGCAGATTTTTAACTACAAAAATTAATACTTGAGGTTTTTCCTCTTTTACCTGTAAGTTTAATGATAATTTCCCGATGCAGTGACATGTTTTTCCTTGCGCCGCTATAATTTCCGTATTTTTGGTTTTAAATAATCGTACCCTATAAAAATTCTTTTTGAAGAAATTTCACTCATAAAATTTCCTTCTGCTCCTGTATCGATGAGGGCTTCTACTGGTACATCGCCAACCAGGGACTTGTATAATTGGTAGCTGTGAGTTTTTACGATGACCGTATTTAAATGTCTATTTGAGGGTTTTTTTAAAACTTCCGGGGTCTGGACCCTCCTTTCACAGGCCCCCTCTACTCGTTTAAAGCTTTCCTTTCAATCTGTGCCTTCTGGGTACGCGGAGTTTATTTTTCGAATTTTTCTTTTGGGCCTTGATCTTCGAGTTTCGATGAGTTAGCTTGATAGCTCTTTCCCCCATAATAAGAGCGATTTGCATTTCTGGTTTCCTCATTTGAAGATTTCCTTCGGGTACTTTGAGAATACGTTGCCCCTCTGTCTTTTTCCGCTATTCTGCGATTTTGAAACTTCACCGCCAATTCGAAGAGCTCCTGCAATGTGCTTGGGTTTCTAATTTCAAGTAGTCTTGAACAGCGGGTAACAATCTTGGTAAGAAGATTATTTCAATAATCTCCGCATCGAGTTTTTCCCATACAGCATATCCGTCAGCTTAATTTTTCGTAGAATAAAGTCCGTCAATTCTGCTATATCCCGTTCATAGAAACTATATAGTTCGGCTTCCAGCCGTGCGCGATCTTTCACTATGGGGAAGGCCTTTAATAACGATTTTTTGAAATTTTCAAATGTATATGTTCCAAATTCCCCTAATAAAAATTTGCCTATATTTTTCCACCATAGCACGGCCTGTCCTCTTAGTGCGGATGTGGCGATGGCAACTTTTTGTCTTTCCGGTACAGGGTAGAGCTGAAAGTGATTTTCTAGGCCTTCTAGAAATATCGCCACCGAATTTTTTTCGTCGAAATTGACGTTGGGCTTGATTGACGCTCTCAAGTCTGGACCAGGTATCCAAATCCTTCCAATTGGCTTGCATTTCTTGGTGTTTGTCCCGCGGCTTTCCATCCAATTTTCGGCCATTTCAGTTCGATAAGTGTTCGGGCGCCAATGTGTAGCGTGCGCGCCTCCAACTTGCACGCAAACAAAGTGGTGACTGTGAAAACTGGATAAAAGACAGAGTCTTGTTAAGGGTTTAAGTCCCTTTTTATTCAACGTAAAAATTACAAGTACGGCTTTGACGCTCACAAACTGCGCCAACTCGGCGGTCAAATAAAAATAATAACCTAAAAGAAATACTAACAAGACTCTAAACTACGAGGCTCTCTAAACGTAACTAACTCACCGCGTTTTTACAATACCGCTGCTAATTCAGCAAACTCTGAAGATCACTTGAAGATTAACATACTTCCAGGCAAGCACACAGGCCGAAACGCGGGGTTCTTCAATTTCTGGCCAACTACCTCCGCGCTCGTGAAGTAAGAATATCCCACCTCGAACTCGTTTCCTTTCTATTTAAATCAGAATACTTCCGCTAATAATTTGAATCCTTGCGCGTTCTACTAAATTTACATACTCTGGCATTGGCAGTTCCAGGGGAAAGTAAGGCTTGACAGGAAAGATAGTTTAAACTTAAAATAAATGTTAGTTAAAATAAATATAAACCGTACAGGTAATTTAAAATTGAACTAAATTGACACAACTTTAGCAGATGTGTGTTAAGTCACACTAACGAAACTTCTACAAAAATTAAAATTTGAAACAGATTCTGAATCGGCTTAGAGCAAATTTACCGGGGAATAATATTTAGATTATTTTAGTGAAAGAGAATTTAAAGAACTGCCAGTAGACGAGTAATAATTAGAGATGTTTATTAAAGTTTCCTTAGGTATTGTAGCATTCATAGTTTTATTGCTGAAATTTTGAGCATTTTTATTTTGACAGATAATATTTATAACTACATTGACAAGGAATGAGATAAATACTTCAAGTTCTGAAAGAGGACTTGCTTACTGTCCGTAATAATCGAAGAAACAATAACTCGAAAAACGAATTTCTGGGAGAGTCCCATGGAAATGTTGAATTAATAATATGGGAGATCAGAATAACAAATTATTGTTCTGATCTCTTTCATTGAAGAAAGCTGTGTATGATCTAAAACGGTTTTTCTAAAGCTTTAAAAAGAAAGCAGCTTCACTAACAAACAGCTCAAGCAATTGCATTCCTGAATAAGAGCGGTGTATAAAAAGAAAGATATAAGCATTCGAAAAATTATCATCAGTTTTTAATTTAAGTATTGCTGCATGTCCTTTGGCGAAGCATAAAAAATATTTCTGGTTTTCGTTTAAATACATTTTAAGTGGCAAGTATTTCTTTTTGAGTTTGTTCACATATATTTTTATTTTTTAATCGCGCGGTCTGTTTAAAAGTTAAATCCTTAATGTTCCATTTGATGGAGTGCTAACATTCCTTGAATGTAGCCTTGGATATCTCTCACGCATTTTTCATGCATAGAAATCGAGGAATTAATCACTGTTATTAAACTTTCTTTTAAAGTAGGCACACCTTTTGTTTTCAGTCAAGCACTCTTACCTTTTGCCGCAGAGAGGATTAGTTATCGGTTATCTCCTCTATTCTTGCTAATATCTATAGGAACTGAATAATTTATTACATTTTGCACGTTTTTGTTTACTAATGTTTTTTTTTTTTCCTTATCGCACTAAAACTTAATAAAACATTTCGAATAACTCGTTAATTCTCGAAACCTTGCTATTAAGATCATACTTGAGATTTGACGACTCTCAAGGAAATCAACAAAAATAACAAACAGGCAAATGAATTATCGCCTGGTAACATATGATAATAAACCCTAACTTCAGGATAATTTTTTATAGGAAATTGTTTCTTTTTATCTTCCTGCTCATGGTTTATTTTGTTAATTTAATTAAACAAAACATAACATTTTTATTTACTCTTACTTTTCAAACACTTAATGTTTATTTTTGAAGTCTGTTCTACATCAAGAAATTATATAACAACTACTTTTTTATAATTAATACTTTCCCCACTGCGTATTAGAGGATTCTTCCATTAAAAAATCACAGTAATCTAATTATCATTTCCTTCTTTCCTTTAGTTAATTATGAAATTGCTTGGATTTAAAAGTAACTTTTTCCCTTTGGTTATAAAATTCGCAGTTTGCGCATAAGATCATCATGCTAAATGTCAATTCTTCAGGGAACTTATAACAGAACTTATAGTTTCGAATTACCTATCAAATTCTGGGAATGATAATGATAAAATCATAAAAAATTAATTCTTTACTGTTCTGTAATATGCACTGTAGAACAGTTTAATATATAAACTTATAGCGTAGATAGTACTACTAATTTATAGTAATAATTATAACCATAGTAATACTCATGTCTTTGTAGTACAGTATGCATACAGGTCTATAAAATATTGCCTGTTGGTCTTATAGACGACAACTGTATTGTAGTATTTAGATTCATAAAATGCTGTGTGTTGGTTTAATAGACGACCAACGACCTGATGGCCTTATAAACGGATCAACATGCTGGCTATTCTGACATCTCAATTTAGTACTTTGAACTATTTTGGGATTTATAACATTCAGAAATCTTCGTGAAAGGATCATAAGTTATACATCAATTTTAAGTACGTTGCTTGCTTTTAAATAAAAATGTATTTATCTTAGAGACCGGCGAATATTTTGCCATTAGTCGATTAATTAAATCAATCAAATCAATCTTAGAGTTCGGATTCTTCGAAATGTTACTGCCATTTCGGATTAAATCTTCTGTAATGGTTAACACCATTTTAAGAAAATGGATATCAAGTACCTTATTAAATCTCGTAATAAGATTACAAATACGTTAAACTCCATTTACTTTGACGTTAGTAAAATAGTTAAGACAAGTCTTATATCTGTACGACCACATCATCGAAATATTTGTGCCATGTACTATATTATAGTACTAAAGTTTATTAGATATTAAGCATATCAGGGAAAGAAAAGTGTATAATCTAAATGGGTGATGTATTAAGAATGGAATTAAATTAAAGATTATGCATTATACTAAAAGTTTACGAAGCAATTAAATTTAAAACAGCACTCGTTTTAGTACGGCTGCAATAAAATTTAATTAAATTTTCGTCTTTTTCTCTCTTTAATATTGTCCTTTCTTTTTTTTTTTTTTTTTTTTTTTTTTTTTTGGTTATTTAGATTCAAGGATTTTTCGAAGTGTTTTTTTTATAAACTTGTGAGCAAGGTACTGTTTTGAAATTTATATGAGCATTTATACTCGTACTTACGTATTATCGCAAACACCTTGGCGCAGTTTGGCAAATTTTGTGGAAGGAAAAGAACAGTTATTTTTGTTGTAAAAATATATATACTATATTACGTACGTACATATTATTATATACATATTATTCGTTTCCGCTATGTATTTATTCCAAAAGGCAATCAGTAAACTTAGTTACAAAGGGTTTTTTTGTATTTATTATGGTGGAAATTTCTTAGCGATTGCTTTGAAAAAGAATTCGAAGCATTATTCTTTTAGGTGTTTGTGACAAAATAATTTATTTCTTCAGAAATGTCACTTATTTTTCTTCAGTTATAGGAAAAATCCTACAAGAACAAATTTTAAAATCGAGTTTAAACAAAAATTAATCATAATTTTTCTATAAAAGCCGTTGAAACTTGGAATACAACAAAAAGGAAGCATACAAAAAGGACGAAGTTGGAAACTGAATATTTATCATGTATTGGTTGCCTGAATAATTGTTATGCTTATGGTTACCAGAGTTTAGTGATTCTGAAGCGATAATACATAAGTATCCATTTATATGTAGGTAATAGTAAAGTATCTTAATTAATCCATTTGTATTTATTCCTTTGGGGAAAAATAATTTCGGTTTAAAAACACGTGCGATTACGAACAGGCTTCAGGAACGAATTATATTCGGGAACCGAGGCTTCGCTGTATACAGAGGTAGATTAAAAGCTAAAATATTTGTTAGAAATTCTTAAGCCTAAATTATATAAAAATTCTTTTAATTTAAAATTTTAAATTGCTTTATTCCTTTAAAATAAAGGTCTTTTTTTTTTTTTTTTTTTTTTTTTTTTTTTTTTTTTTTAAAGGCATTTTTAATTGGGTATTAATATCAGAACTGTATTTTTTTCCCTTAGGACGATATGGTGTGCTTACAATGCACAGCAACTGGAGAAAGAGTATGCTTGGCGGCCGAAGGTTTTGGAAACAGACATTGCTTCCTCGAAAATATCGCCGACAAGGTAAAAACATCGTTTTCCGTAATTCATTCACGAATGGTTTTGTAAATTTAGATTCTTTGTTTAACTATGTTTTCAAATCACAACAACACAGGCAAATGTTGCAGTAGTTTTTCCCTTCTTATCGCTGAGATTAATAAATAATAAACATATATGCCGTTACATAAAGATACTTGGTACTTTTCCGTTCTGCCGGCGCAAATCTCGCCATGCAGACGTTATTGGCAACAACACATAGTATACACATAAAAAATGTTAACAAATGTTAGTTCTAAGAATTTTTTATTTTGAAGGCATAAATATTTTAATATTTAAAATTTTGTAAAAAACCAATAAATAAAGGAAAAAAAATGTAAAAAAACATTAATTTAAGAATGAATACGCGTTCATGGTTCAACATCCCGATTCGCCGGTTCGTATCACGTGACCCCAAGTGATCTCATCTCACGTAAACTACGCTACAAAAATCTAATTCTTCCCGTAGTTATCTACATTAATTTAAAGTTAAATCTTAATTTGGAATACAAGTTTAAATGCAAGAGTTATTTCAATTCGTACGATTAGCTTACTCAGAAATTATATAAAACCGCAGTGCTTTACTTCGCGAGTGCATTCTCATTAGAATTGATGAATTGAATCTTTGATTTTGCCTTTTCTATATTTTCGCCATCGGGTGAGCGGTGTGATTGCATCCTAATTGACTTAATCACTGCGAATGACCTTAGAGCATAAAACTGAACTATCTTGTAAAAATTCTATATAATTGTATGCCAGTATTGAAGGAAACAATCAATCTGATAAGAAATGGCTGCGACTTGTTTTGAAAATCAGACGTAATAGGTTACCAGCGAGGATGTTCCGTCTGGCATCAGTTGTACCATTATTGGCGACTTTATCGCCTGCGCCGGAAAAACGGAAAAGTACCAGATTCTTTTATGGTTTTGATGGTCCTGTGCTGCAATCTAAAAAATGTTTCATAACCTGAAGAAACTGGCATGAGAGTTTGATCTTTGAATATCGGTTTATGCTTTTTATTGTTGCAGCAAAACTTTTTCCAAGCGTCACAGATAGCATCTTTTACTGCGAAGTTAAAATCGATTCATACTTCAAAGCTCAGTTGGAAATTGTGCTGCCTGCTCTATTTGCGGCTTCAGGAAAGAAATTTGAACGCTCCGCTACAGAAATTCTGTAAATTATTTACGAAGGGGCAGCCGTTAAGGAGAACAAAAGTGTCTTTCTCGAATAAAAAAATTCTGTAATGCTTTTCTTTGATGCTTCATGCTTTCTTTGCGTTCAATAAATATAAAGATTATATAAAAATAAATCACATTATGTAAAAGCGTTATTGCCCAGTACCCAAGAAACATATAAAGTATTGAAATGAATAAATTTTGAAAAATAATAGAATAGGAATTTGGAATGCATATTTTTTTTATTGAAAATTTTAAATCCTTGTGCACCACATAGTATTACACAAGGCTTACAGAGGTAAGTAAAAAAAACAAACAAATACAACAACACAACAGAAAATAAAATAAACTTACAAATTCACAGATGATACGTAAGAGATAAATTTACAGAAGAAAGAGAAAGCCATTTTATGTTGGACAAATACGTGAAGAGGTGGAGGAAATGTAATATTCACAGAGTTTAACTTAGAAATGAGTTTCTTTCGTCCTTCCTTGAGCTTTGAACAATAGAACAACAAATGTTCCACATTTTGCACTCCCCCGAAACTGCATGAACACAAGTCTGTACTAGATAATCTAAATCTCTTCAGATATAAATTGAATTTACCATGTCCAGTTAGAAATTGAGTAACTTCAAAATTGCAGAAAAAGTGTTTATTATTCAGTTTGTGAGGAATGGAAAGAAAATAAAGTTTAGTCAAAGAGGCAGTAGTAGAATTCCTGTATAGTTCATTCCACTCGAGTATTCTATCATCCCTACTTTTGTTTTTGTAAAATGACTTGGGAAGTATCATTGGAGTAATTACTTGAAGATGTGTAGCTTGTTTTGCCAACCAATCAGCCCTTTCATTTCCTAGATTGCCAGTGTGGTCACGTACATGAGAAAAGATAACATCAACACCTTTATTATTAAGGAATGCATATAACAGTCATTTTTGACACCAGGTTTCTTTAGAATAATTTTGAATCTGATAAAAAGAGATTATGTTCTCCTTAAGGCATTAATTATCTTTTTATTTACGTCTAGCAAAGTCATATTTCCAATTAATTAAATATCTCATAAATTTCGTCCATTTGTAATTTGTATCCCACAAGTAAAAGTGCTGACATTCTTGTTATCTTAGAAAAAGCTTTTAAATAAGGTTAAACCAATTTTGAGTTAAGTTGTAGTGAATTCTGTATCACGACCAAAACTGGAAAACTGAATAAAATTTCGATTTTGCTCTTAGTAATCGAAATTTAATTGCTTCACTACTGTAACCGTACCAGGTTGCTGTATCTGTATTTAGTTGTGCTTGAGATAATTTTTTTATTTAACCAGCAGTTTTATTTTTATATTTGCTTCGATGTAAAATTTCTTTGATTTAACAGCACATTCTCCAGCGAATTAGCTAATGAAATAGGATGGAATCTAAACAGAAGAAAAACTGACCAAAGTGAACCACAAATTTAGCAAAGCAACAATGTTGTGTATGGCGTAGATTTAGTGAAGAAGTCAATCGATTTCGAGGGTAAGCAGGTCCTTCTTCATCAGGAGCAACGAAATCTGCAATCTTATTTGCTCCCAATAAAGAGTGACCTATACCTGTTTGCCTTGGAAATCGATTGAGTTCATCACTCCTAACACCAGATTGTTGCTTTGCTAATTTTAGGATGGCATATTGTTACTATGCCTCTGGTTTACATGGATTTTAAAGTGAAAATGTTTTTCATTTTATATTCTTTACGATACACATTTACTGAAAGCGAATTGATTGCTCATTTTTGATGTAGAAAAAAATTAAATTTCAAAGATTAAAATTTTTTATGAAGAAAAATATGTATAATACAGCTGAAACGTTTCATCGAAATTTTAAATTTATGGCTATAGAATCAATTTGAGAAAGTCCAGACTTTTCATTAATGCAAAACTGAAAGTAGATATCTGAGAAAATTTGCTTCTATGCTCTAATTAAGAACATACAATAGGTGGAATAAAAGTCTCCATATACCGGGTGATCAAAAAGTCAGTATAAATTTGAAAACTTAATAAATCACGGAATAATGTAGATAGAGAGGTAAAAATTGACACACATACTTAGAATGACATGGGGTTTTATTAGAAAAGCAATAATTAGAAAAGCAATAATTAGCATAACAAATTAAGACAAAGCAAAGATGATGTTCTTTACAGGAAATGCTCAATATGTTTACCATCATTCCTCAACAATAGCTGTAGTCGAGGAATAATGTTGTGAACAGCATTGTAAATCATGTCCGGAGTTATGGTGAGGCATTGGCATCGGATGTTGGCTTTCAGCATCCCTAGAGATGTCGGTCGATCACGATACGCTTGCGACTTCAGGTAACCCCAAAGCCAATAATCGCACGGACTGAGGTCTGGAGACCTGGGAGGCCAAGCATGATGAAAGTGGCGGCTGAGCACACGATCATCACCAAACGATCATCACCTTCGCAAGAGATCTTTCACGCGTCTAGCAATATGGGGTGGAGCGCCATCCTGCGTAAAAATCATACGTTCCAGCAGGTGTTTATCAGCCAGGGTGGGACGATGCGATTCTGTAACATATCCGCGTAATTCTCACCCGTCACGGTAGCAGTTACAAAACCAGAATCACGCATTTCCTCGAAGAAAAAAAGGCCCGATAACAGTACCTTTAAACTTTTTTTTTTTTTTGGTTCTAATAAAACCCCATGTCATTCTAAGTATGTGTGTCAATTTTTTACCTCTCTATCTACATTATTCCGTGATTTATTAAGTTTTCAAATTTATACTGACTTTTTGATCACCCGGTATAATATAGATTTACTCTCATTATGTTGCCTTATTCTATCTCCAATTATAGTGCAGTAATGACCATCCCTTTTGTATTCCATATACCAGAGTCACGTTATGAAAAGCCTCATTGTGTTGGCTGAAGTATACATTGACTGTGACCTGTGAGAGAAAGAATAACAAGCTTGCGTTAAGGAGATAGAAAGAATTACATAAGACAGCTAAAGGTCATCTTGCTACTTAACATCTTCGTCAAGTATTAAACGGGTCGCACATTTTTCCGAAGACTACAGGCTTACAGAACCGAAAAGAACACACTAATCATGAAAATTCACGACTAGTGATAAATTACAAATAACTGCTTATAGGTCTTATATTTCGTGCGCTTTAAAATGCAGTAGAGGTCGACCTTCTATATCAATCGATGACTGAACAATTCGTGAAGAAAACTTTTACAAATACTTTAAAATGCCTGATAAACATATAGTTTTGCTAATCATTTTTCGTTATTGGAAAAGGTAACTACAGTTCACAAGGAAAAGAATTTATAAGGGTTGTGTATAAAATATTATGTTGTCACGCTGAATATGAGTACCTAAAATAGTAGTAAAAATGTTCCATCTCTGATATTGTTGAAACAAATTTATTGAAACTTTCAAGGAAAAGTATTATTTATTTCAGAACACGCCCCCGGAAATGTCTTCCTGCGTTTTTGTCATTGAGCAAGCTCTGTCTGTCAGAGCTTTACAAGAAATGGTCACAGCCATGTCTTCAGAATCTGTAAGTCCTTTATGTAAATTTTCAACACTTTGCTTAGCATTTTATTCATATAATTTGGTAAAACTTTTAATTTCATTTAATTTCTATTTAACCTTTTTTTCACTAAATAATACTCTAATGATACAAACTAGATGGTTATATATATTTGCAAGTCTTTTCCCTATTTTAGTGTATGATAATTGAAATATAATTGGATACGATCTGAATTTCAGTAAAGTTTCCATGATTTCCCTTTACATTATCAGTTACAGTTATTCCGCCCTTTAGTACAGTTCCGCATGCTAAATGATATAAATACGGATTTCTTAGGTTTGTAATGATTCTATTGGAAAAAAAATTAAAAACCTAATAATATTTAACTATGTTGTGCTTCTTTGTTAAATTCTGTATTTATATCTCTCAAGCTGTAAATTGAAATACTGAAATATTCGGTTAACTTTGTAAGGTTCCTCACTTTGGAATTCTAAGTTAATGTTGGAAGTGAAGAACCTAGCAACTGATAAGCGAATAATCGCTAGAGTTCGATGACAGGAAACAACAAGAGAGAAGGGTAAATAACCCTTTATTATTTCTATAAGATTTAACAAAACTCCGCCTGGGAGTGAACAAATAAAGTCCGCACTTTGGACTTGAACTTAAAAGACTAAGAATTAAACTAAAACTAAGATTAACTAAATAAGTATAGCCAAAGCTATCAAGGCTCAATGAGAGTTGGCCCCTTAACTTATTTTACTACGAAGCTTAGCAAGGGCCTGAGTACGGCCGAGCGTAAAACAGCTTTGAGAGAGAGAGCGGCCAAAAAGGCAGACGCGCGTACTTCAGAAGCTCTGTTTCTCTCTCTGGCTCAGTAAGTAACTTCGTGGTTTAAATACCGCTCCTTCTCATTAAAATATCAGCAAAATCCAAAACTACGTTCTGGCCGGAAGTAGTAAGTTGAAGATTAAGAATTTGAAAGGAACTTCCCTTAAATTTTAAGTGTTAATAAAATTAACATAATCCTTACAACCTAACTAATAATATTGTATGGTTGGTCTCGCATCTGAACACTGCCGTTATTTCAGTTGTTATTACGTCAAGTGAATGCTGCAATCTTGCAAAAGGTATTAAGTAAGTTTTTGGCTTCCCTGTTCCGGGAACTAAGCCCACTACATGTCTACTCCCCCTTTGGGCACATCGTGGAGGTTCAACCTCCACTATTACCCTCCAGGAGAGCAGCGCACCACCTGGATAAGACACCAGGCAGCACCGGTCGTCTAATGCTCCTACCAGTCGCTTGGGCGAGCCCGTCGCAGCGAGACATTACCCAGCGACCCCGGGGAAGACCCCTGGGTTACTAGAACCGCCGCGCTAGGACGTGCCAGACTCCGAGGCCGGCCAATAAGTGACTTTCCCAGAGCCTTCAGAACCACCAAGTTCATAAATTGTATACCCCCGTGACCGAGACTGCCTAGGTACAGATCCTAGCCAGTAGCTTCGCAGAGTTCTCTACGTCGACCCCCGGGGGGGTTGCAAAAGGTATTAAGCCAGATTCGTTTTCTAACGGCACATAACCTAGTTCTGTTTCTTGAGTGTCTCTGCAAGACATTTATAGTGTACCATAAATACTCAGTACAATTAAATATTATGAGTGGAAGACCATTGGAATATATAAGAGTTTGTAAAAAGTTCCTCGGCATTTCAAATTTGTGCGGGCACAATGGAAAATTGTATTAATCTTCAAGTAAAACCCCATTATCACCAGGACTTTCATAAAGAGGTGCGAAAGTTCCGCCAAAAGTTCTATTAATATTATTCTGCCAATAAAGACTCCATTGTTACTAGTGGTCTTTGCATGATTCAAAGAAATATATTCTGTGCTAATAAAGAAAAACATCTGCTTACACAACATATCTGCTTACTGACAGGCCGAATCCTTTATTTTATGTTTTCTTCTCTATGGAAGAAAACATCCATTAGCTCCAAACAGCTGCAATCATATTCGTCTGACTGATCTACAAGATGCCAAGCCCTTATGTCCAATAATGATAGTGTGTATCCTAGATGAAAGGAGTTAACCAATGGCATGTGCAGTATTTTGATTGATGGCTTGTGTGCTCAACATTAAACTAGGATGTGTTCAATGTGTTCTTCTTTGATGAATTACCATTTTTCTCAAACGAAGATGGTTATGTTCTTGCATCATTTATGAACGGCTACACTCTTTACGCGTTACTGATGTTTGTTCGAAACTGACACATTTCTAATGTACTCTTGATATCGTCTAAGAAAATCATCGAATTTGCACTCTTGGAGATCCCACCTAGCCAATTTTAAATAATCTGTGATCTATCGGCCATGAAAATGAAGATAAACTATGCGCACAATTCATGCCAATCAACTCTCCACTGCGAAAGAGTGTTATAAGTTTTAACTTCTATAGCATGTATATGATTCGGCTGAAAGTATTCGACGCTGAGAGGAGTAATTAGAATCTTAAACAAAGCTATCCCTTATATGTTTAACGCTTTAGTTAATATAACTGGAGAGCGTGATAATCACGCATCTTTTACAGCGAGTTCGGCAGTACTTAAAGTACACTCATGTCCATAAATTAAGGATAATTCGGAGTCACGCGAAAATCGAACTCTAAAATAAATATATCACCTGTAAAATCACTACACACCTCTTGAAGAATCACATGCAAATTTCAGGAAGTAACCAGATGACACCTATGGTACGTCACAATGACGTAACCAGATGATACTGATGGTACGTCACGATCAGTGTAAGAGAGTGATATATAAGCAATACAGGCAAAGAAGTAAAATTGTTCGCAGGCGCTTTATAAGCATTTCAGTACAATAAACGAATAGTTATGACACAAAGGACGCATTTGGATGATTTCTTACGTGGTAGAATTAACAACCGTCTGGAATGTGGGCGTACCCAACTGGAAGTATCAGACGAACTTGGAATTGCCCAGAGTGTCATCTCCAGGCTTTGGCAACGATTCCAAGATGATGGTAATGTGAGTAGACGTTACAGCACAGGTCGCCCCAGAGTTACAACGCCGAATGACGACCGGTATTTGGCAGTTACTGCCAAAAGAAACAGGCGGAGCACAGCTTCAGACCTGTCTCGTCAGCTCTCTTTAGCCACTGGTACGACAATTTCAAGGCAGACCTTGTACAGACGCTTAGGGCAGATTGGTCTATATGCTCGTAGACCTGTCAGATGCGTTCCACTTACTGCAACTCACTGTCGCCTGCGGTTAGCCTGGAGTAGAGAGCATGCACTGTGGACACCGCAACAGTGGGCTTCTGTGATGTTCCTGACGATTCCAGGTTTAGCTTGCAGTCTGTTTCTCGCCGGACTTTCATATGGAGAGCTTGAGGTACCCGTTACCACCAAGAAAACATCACTGAACGACACCGTTACGGTGGTGCAGGAGTGCTCGTTTGGGGTAGAATTATTCTGCGTTCCAGAACTGACCTGCATGTTCAAATTGGAACCATGACAAGCCAAACCTATCGGGACGTCATTCTGGAACAACATGTACGTTTGTTTCGAAGCGCCATGTGCGCACAATTTGTGTTTATGCATGACAACGCCCGTCCTCACCGTGCAAACATCGTAAGCGAATGCCTTCATTCGGAGGATATCACTCGTATGGACTGGCCAGCATTCTCACCGGACAGGAATCCAGTACATCCCGTGTGGGACATGCTTGGCCGACGAGTTGTAGCCCTTCAACCTCCTCCTACATGTCTACCGGAACTTCGGAGAGCATTGCTTTTTGAGTGGTGTAATATCCCCCAAGATCAGATCGATAATTTGATACTCAGCATGCCTAGGCGTTGTACGAACTGTATTGCATCTGTGTCTGTACTGGGAGACATACAATGTATTAACAATCATACCAACCATGTAATATTGTTTTTTTTGTAAGTAGGTCTTTTTTGTAATTTGCTCCAGGGAGAAAAAATCGCTAATTTTTTTAATAATATCAAACATATAGCATCTGTTTTTTGCTCTTTATTTTGTTTAATAAATAAGCTTTACAAATAAGTCAAATTTGTTTTGCTTCTAACTCTTCCTTTGCCTGATTTTGCATTATCCTTAATTTATGGACATGAGTGTACATTTACTTCGCTTTAATCCTCATTGGGTTTTCTCGAATCATCTAAACATGTCCTGTTGTGAGAAGAATATGGCTTTATTCTCGTAACTAAGGAAAAGACAAATTTAATGTTGCCCAATAAAAAACTTTGATATGCTTAGGGTTTTTCCTAAATTCTTGCTTTAATTTATTCATGTTCTTTTCAGGGCAAAAGTACAACATCTGGTCACCGAACGCTATTATATGGCCATGCAGTATTGCTACGGCATCACAATAGTAACATGGTAAGTTAATACCTGAAGTGTGAAGATTTCGTTTCAAATATTTCGATATTTTATTTTAAAAAGTAAAAGTTATTTTTATAGTTATAACGGGAAAAAGATATTTGTAAAAGCTATCTATATAATTCAACTAATAAAAAGGCAAAGTAACTTCTAAGCTGCTTTCTAATGATAATGTCATGAGTATGTTACAAAACAGTACTCCCATTTAATATTCAAAAGATTTTTTTTTTTTTTTCAGTTTGTTAAGAGAGAATTTAAGTACATATGAAAACTACATACGAAATTAGTCGTCGAGAAATGCATAATAGCAAATATTAGCTGCCTAATGATCGATTAAAAAATATTAAGTATGGAATTTTTGATAGCTAATAATAGCAAACTTTCTGATGAAATTTATCAAAATTTTAAAAATTCCTGAAAATTTTCAAAATTTGCTCAGCATCTCCAAATGTAGTAGATTTTGATATTTTCAATTTCCTATTTACATCCATATATCAGTTAATGTTTTTAACGTAATGTATACTTCTAAAAGAGTAAAAGCACTTGTAAGTTTATGTTTATTGCTTTATTT